CCCTGAACAAGCTAGTAATTTGGAACGAGGAAATAGCAGGTGAGGAAGTAAAAAGTAAAGATTCTATTTTTAGGTTCCAGAAAATATTAGGATGGGTTTTTAGCCGAGGCCTATATGCTTTATTCCCTAGGTAAAGCCACTTGCATTCAGCCTTTGTACACTGATGCCTGACTGTGACTTAGTCTTGGTTACGTCAACCAAATCCAACAATCCCTCTTGCGATGCACTACTTTTCTTAGAGCTGTCACTTGCAAACAAGAGTAAATTGGGTATTTAGCAGAAAAGGGGTCCAGTAAAGATTAAGAGTTGCCCCTCAGAATCTTCAGACAGGTCAGAAAATGAGTTCATAAATGACCAGGAATGAACCCTGAGTTACACCATCTAATGTCTCACAGGCCACTGCCACTGTCCCAAAACAAACGCCCAGGCGACCAGCTAATCCCCGGAGGCCAGCCACACCTTCGACTTCTGCTGTCAGTTACGTGAAAACTAAAGTCCCTGCTTCCTTCAGTTGCTCTTTCTAAACCAAAGGGCACCTCGCTTGTACCATCAGGATTCCGTTTCTGCCCAGTTGCAATGCATGTCACCACGCTGAGCCATGTTGGTGCCAGAGGTAGAGGAAAAATCTGCAACAATAATTCCGCCTTTAGTTCAAGTTTTGTCCTTTTTTGAACTTTTAATCTTTTATTTATCTTACTAAGTCTGGGCTATTCCTTTGAATCCGTCTACTGGTGTGAAAGTCTCTCTCACTCACCCTGACACAACCCTAGCAAGCAAGGCTGGGAGGGTGAGCTTCGGAGGGTAGAACTCAGAAGGTGCCGCATATGGAATGGCTCCCAGAGATGTCTGGATCCTAATCCTCAAGGCAAAGGGGACCTTGCAGACGTGATTAAGGCCCTGGAGATGGGAGATCACCCAGCATCATCCATGCGACCTTCTTCAAACACAGGGGTCCTCCTAGGAAGGAGGGAGAGCACAGTAAGAGAGGAGAGTGGTGGCAGAGGCAGAGGACAGAGAGATTCAAGGACTCCAAGCTACCAGATTCAACAGTAAGGAGCCAGTCCCCACACTAAGGTGCATTAGCAGTCTCTCAGGACTGCAAAAGTCAGGGAACAGACCCCAAAGGCTACTTGAGGGAACCAAACCCCGCCATTGCCTTGACTTTCAGCCTAGAGGGACAGATTCAGAGGTCAGAGCTCAAAAACTCTGAGGGGGAACATTGGTGGTCTTTAAACCACTGTGTTCATTGTGACATTTTATAGCAGCAACAGGAAATGAATATAGTTGTGAAATTCTACAGCTAGCAGAAGAGTTTTCCAAATTGGGGAGGCAGTCAGAAAGCATGGCCATTGCCCAACACCTAATCCCTTTACATTTTCTTTCTATATTTTTACCTTTTCACTCATAGCCCAACACTGAGGTGCCCTGTGGTTCTCATAACCTGGAACAGACAAACTGCGTTTCTTGGTAATGACGTATTCTCTGCTCGGCCTCTGGCCATCGCAGTGCCCAGGTATCTTGAATCACTTTTTGTGCATGTGTTAAATTTTCCTAGATAAGTTTTCACTTGTTAGGGGACAGGAATCCTGCCATCTATGGCTTGGCAAATGTGCAAGACCAAAACACAGACACCAAGCCTTACAGCAGCTCATCTCATGTTTTTTATTAGAAAACAAATGAACGTGAATGTATTTAAAATGGTTGTAATCTAATGTAGGTTTCCTTACTGGAATAAAAATGGTAATTGCAATGCCGACTTCAATCATTTACCTAGTGCTTGATCTTTCCATGAAAGCCTAAAATGTTGTGATGTTATAAAAGGTAATATCTTGATCCTTGGGGAAAAAAATTGTTCTCTCCAGGATAAACAGAGTACACTATGCTTTCAGCAACTAGTTGAAGGCTACATTTGCAAGCTTAATGGATAAAAGATGAACAGTGGAATAAACACAGAGCTCATTTCCTTAGTGCAGTCGGAACTCAGTGGTCTGGAATTCAAAATTCATTCTATCATAGTAGCGATGTGATCGTTAACATGTAATATCATTGTGATCCCATTGTATCAACACAGAGAAAATGCTGTCTTTGTAGAATTTGTGAATGAATTCCATCTCAATGAGGGATTAGGTCTGTCCAGAGGGAACTGATGTGCTTCCTGTAACATGACTTTCAGCAGCACAATGCCTGAGGACTACGTCTTCAAAGTGGCCTACATGTCCAGCAACAGAGAAATGAACAAAGAAATTGTCGTAATTACACATAATGGAATACTGTTCTGCCATTAAGAAGGATAAACTTGGGTTATTTGTAGGAAAAATAGATGCAACGTAAAGTTATGTGAAAGAGTTGAGTCTTTGTCACATAGTGAGTTGGTCTCAAATTGCTCCTGTGTTTCTGAGGTTTCAAGTTAAGACTTTCATTCAAGGAAGAAAAAAAAATAATCTAGAGTCATGCTACTAGAAAAGGTCTTGAACACACACACACACACACACACACACATATTTTTTAAATATATAATTCTGAACTGCATGTCTGGAACACAACTCCAGAGAAGGAAATCCTAGTTGTCTCTAGAACTATGCAAAGAATTAGCCCTGAAAAGAAATGTTATTTCCCCTTGGAAAAGCCATAATGTATGCAAAATGTATGCAAAAATGTATGCAAAATGTATGCAAAAGCAAACAACATTTGAAAACGGAAGACACACAAGTTTACATATGGTTCCTCCTGTACGAGAAACCCAAAACTCAAATGAAGAGCAGAATAAAAGACAGATGATGGAATTAGGGAGTGTGAACTTTTGCAAATGGGAGGGGGACCAAGAGATGGTTGGGGGTGTAAGGGGATGGAAAAAGAATTAAGGTATGTTGTGCACATGACCCAGGCCCCATGAAAACTGTGATCACTGTGCACTAAAAACATTTACTAACAAACAATACAAATTGGGTGGTGGGGAATCTTCCAATATTCTTGAAATTCTCAGCTTTCCAAACTGTGAGACTCAAACTGTCACTGATAAGCCAACTAGTTTGTGGTTATCACAGGGCCTGCATGGCCTAAGATACATGTGTCTTTCTCTGTAGAAACTATGCGTGCATATGTGTACCCTGGCTCGTGTTAGAATATTTGCACCTCTGCACCAAGATCTTCCCCACATTTCCTCAGGACCATGTGCTTTGTGTTCAAACCACTAGCCTGGCCTGGTACAACTCCCTTTTAACTGATCTGTCGGCTTCCATCCTTGTTTCCTACAATCCATTTTCCATGGAGTAAAATCAAATTAGATCATGCCAGTCCTCCACTTAAATTCCTCAATGGCTTTTCTTTACACTTAAAATCTGAAGGGCTTCCCCTGGCCTAGGAAGGCTTCCATGGGCCCTTCTCCGAGCCACTGTCTGAGCTCTTGTCTCTGACCTTTGTCACAAGGACCTTCTACCTGTCCTCCATCTTGCATGTCAAACCCATGCCCAGTTCAGGGCCCTTGGACCAGCTCTTCTCCCCAGCCTGAATGTCCCTTAGTCTTCACAGACCTAACTCCTTCTGGCCATACAGACCATGCAAAGTGGCCATCCTAAGACTTTCTCCGCAAGTACTGAGGTAGTGACCCAGTCCTGTTACAGCCCATCCTGTGGGTACACACTCAGCCTGACTGCTACCTGCACCCAGGGTTATATTTTCATTTACGTTCTTATAAAAGGAGAGAACTTAACCCATCACATTTACTCTGGTACTTGGCTCTCCGTAGGCCCTCATAAGTATTTACAGAATAAATTAATTAATACAGTAATTTATTAATAGAAGTTTGACAAGCTATTGCTTTAAAGTCAGTTGACTGAGTAGGATACAGTTAAGCCCTCTTCCACTTAAGTCCTATTCAGGAGTAACCTGTGGGGGGAGTGGATGACTTTATAAAAATAGCCCGATTGTGGCTCAGATTTCTTTGAAACACCTACAAGCAAGGAGTTGGAGGCTAACAAGAGTATCACAGGTTTTAAAAATAATCCTCCCTTTAAAAATGGGCACCCTGCCATGCTTTGTAACAGAGCTCCAAAAGCTCGTACCCGAGCCCTTTCTAGGAAACCTCAGTGCCTTGCATCTTATTCAACAGTGCCTAATTGGCTGTGTTCTGAAAATGACCTAAAATAAATAGCAGGTTGTATCTGATTTGAAATGCATCCAAACATTGTCATTCAGTGGAGACAATGCTCCAGTAAAGGATATCACATTAAGCAAGAAAAGCTGAATTCTTCTCTACTCCTGAACAAGGTATTCAAGAGGAAAAAAGTTAATTTGTATGTTCCTTTTTAAGGGAATTGGGTTTTGAGGAAATCAGCCTTATAGAATGCAAACATGCAGACCAATTATTGAAATAGAGAGGCATATAAATATTCTCAGAGAGTCCAATATATATCTCTACATTGTCACTTTGCCGCCACAATTCCTGTTCAAACACATGAATTACCTGTGGCATTAAGGAAAATGAAAATTTAATGTCAAAATCAGCTCTTGGAAAAATTTTGCATTAGACAGAAGTTGAGGTTCCCATCCCCTTATCTTACACTGAAAGAGAGAGAGAGAGGAATACACTCATGCCCATGTGCATGCCTGATCCAATTAAAAATCCAAGAAAGAAAGGGAGGGCAGGGACAAGGGGAAAAAATGAGAACCAAGACCTGTCATGTAAAGGTACAAGAGCCCAATAATGGATGTAACTGTACTGTATCCCTAAAATGTACCAATAAACTCAATTTAAAAATAAAAATTTTTAAAAATCCAAGAAAGAACTTATTACTTCTTAATATTTCAGCAGGAACTTACATCTGCACCCTACATTTGCCAGAAATATTTTAGCTTTCTCATCTTTTAACCATAGAAAAAAATGTATTGTCTCTGAAAAAGGCATCTTGTTGTCATGTGTGGCATTGAGGACTGTAGGGCTCCTGCTTGGAGTTAGAAACATATCGCTTTCCTGAAGCCACCCCATTTGCATAGCTACTTACTCTGAATGTGTCATGTTGGAAAAACAGCTCTCCTCGCACAGAAGAGTCAGGTCCCCGTTCCCCAGCTGGATGGAACCACCAAAAGCAGAAACGCGGCCGCGGAAACTTCCGCCTGTCATCGGAAGCACAAACACACCCACCCTGCACCCACCTTCTCTTTGCCAACAGCTCAGACAATGCTGCTGAGTCAGTATCAGTTTCTTAATTATTCATTCTGACTGTACTTCAGTGAAAACAAAGACGTTCCTATCCCCCTGGCTTTCTCACATTTTCCTTCAAAAGAAAGATCTTGTCAGAAACTATTGTGACTTGTTAGAAATCTACACGCCTAACACAGCCTAGATAGAATTTCTGCAAGGAACTGGCATCCTGAAGAAGAGGCCTAGACCTAACTGGTACACCCAACTCAGTAAAAGGAAAAAAAAGCAAAGAATCCAAGCTTGCAAAGCAAATAGAAATGATTCCTGGCCTCAGGCAACCTGCAGGCTCCCCACACACGCTGTGTGCTCACCGATAGTATGTAGTGGTTTGCAAGCAGGGTCATCCTTCAGTGTGGGACTGTTTCAAGCCTACAAATAAGCTTCTTAGCCCCGTGACCATGCCTCTCTTTGACCGCCATACCTTAACAAGGAAATCATGCTTTTATTTTTGGTTTTATAAGTCCAGCACCCACTCCCATGCCTGCCAGTGTCATTGCTTGTTGTGAGTTGGACAAAGAAACAGACGCACACCCACCAGTCGAGAAATCAACCTGGACCCTTCCAAGCTCTTCCTGTAAATTTCAAAGTTTAGAGCTACACGCAACTGTTGCCTTCTACCGCAGGACGTAGACCAAGCCAGGACCGTGTGAAAAGGCAACTGGCCAGTCAATGCAGAGATGAGAAATGGATTAAGGGTGTTGGTGGGATTTATGTCTCCCATCCCACTGTGTCTGCACTTTTGCCCTTCCCTTAGCTACACAAGCCTTCTAGGAAATTTCTTTTTCCTGAGTTGCAGTTGAGTTGAACTTACACAGTTTGCCATGAGAAAAGCATTCTAAATGCCCTAGTAAGTGTTCTGTTTTCTCAGCCTTATCATAAAGACCTTGAAGATAATGCCTCACCACCTGTCATTTTAGTGACTTCGTATCCACCAAGGCCTTTGGTACACTAAAGCTGCTTGGTCAGTGTAGGGATGCTTTGTTGATAAAGTGTTCGAAGTCTCCCTTGTTTCTTGTTCAAACAAATTGGATGTAGGATACTGTAGACAAATATGAGAATGGAAAAGCATTGGACAACCGAACTAGGGTGACCAAGGTGTCTGGCCTCCAATTTGACCCCCAGGGACACTCTCACCTCCTGCTATCCCTAACTTTTGTATTCTCTCAAGGAACTTAATGATCCATGGCAGACAAAGGGTAGAAAGGCAACAAAGGAAACTTAACTGTGTGGTTCTGCCCATTTTACCTTATCCAGAATACCAGAATTGGGGTGGTGCCAAACTAATCAGTGGACATTCTTAATCCCAGTGGCACACACTGTAGATCCAGCCACCTCTGAAAAAGCCCTATGACTGCAGGACGCTTTGGGAGGACATCTAGAAACAAACAACAACATTCTGCCTCTACCTTCCCCTGAAGACTCATGGACATCTCTTTTATCTTATGCACACTGCTTAGGATGGGTAGCACTCACACCTTTAATCCTAGTGCCCTTGAGCCTAACACTGCACCATGAATCAATTCCAAAAATGTCCCCACCTGTGACAGCATAAGGCTTTGGGGAAAACACAAGCCATAACAGTCTTCCTATCTTGTACCAAGGTTGGTCTGTGTGACAAAATAACATGCACCAAGAATGATGTAAAAGACTGAGGCTTCCACCTTAGGGTTACTGTAGCTCATTGGCCTCTTCTATCTCTGATATGAAGGAAGCCAGCTGCCACTTTCTGAGGAGGCCACCGAGGCAAGGAAATGAACTCTCTGAGAACAGCAGTGAGGTACAGCAGTCCACTGACAACCCCAAGAGTGAGCTGGGACTGGATTCTTCAGTCCCAATCTAGGCTGGAGGTGGCTGCAGCCCAGCTGACATCTTCACCTTATCACAAACCAGCAGCCAAGCCTCTTCCAGGACTCCCACCTACAGGAACTGTGGAATCACAAGAGTCACCAACAATGATGACCGCCCCTCTGGTTCCCTAAATAAGTCAAGAATCAGAGGGATCCAAGATATCAGTGCTGCATGTGGGTGTTTCATGGCATTGGTTCATAGGGTTGATAATGGGAGCAGAAAGCAAAACAAAACAACAGGATGAACATGTTGTATGAGGAACAAAAGAATTGGGGTTGACAAGAGCCAGAGATCTTCATGATGAATGCGAAGGAAAGAACTGCGAATATCATTTTTATTCTAAGGAAAACAAGGTTTTTGGAACCAGGAATCAATCTCAAAGTGAGGAAAAGGCCTCATAGGTCTCAGCAGCTCAAGTTGGCAAGTATCTAAAGCCCAGAAGTGTGTGACAATCAGAGCATAGAAGGACACTTCATCTTCAGGTGAAAGTAGTTTGCTCTGAATGCCATCGAACTTCGTATTGGGTTCAAGGGACTCTGTCTACCAAAAACCACAGCAGGAAGTTACAAAATATAATCAGTGTTTCATTTACTGCTGGGAGAGGAACTGGAGACTTCAAAGGCTGTCCTTTAGCATTTTTTCAGGAACGTACATTTCCATCTACCTAGCATCTGACACCTGTTGGATTGTAAATGGGCTATAGAAGAAGTGAGTCGTGAGTACATGACCTTGGGACTATATCTGACCCCTGACCCCTTCTCTGTTCTTACCATACTCTCTTCTTCCTGGATGCCATGAGCTGAGCACCTTTTCTCCATCACACCCCTCTTGCCTTGGAGCCAGAAGGGATGGAAACCAGGAGCCAAAACAAACCTTTGCTCCTGTAAGTTATGGGTGTCCGGTATTTTGTCCCAGTAGCAAGAAATCTGGGACAAAACTTACATTTCCCTGTTTGTTCATCACAGACACTTCAGTCCCAGATGGGACTCTTTCCTTTTGGCATTTTCATCCTGAAGATCATCTGTCCCCTCTGTCTTGACTTCTCAAACATTATGTATTCTCCTCCTTATGGCTCTAAGCATCCAGGAGGTCAACCAATTATCCAGCCTAAGCCAGTTTTTCCATTCTCTAAAAGCCTCTAACACTTTGAATTTAAACCACAGAATTTGCTGCTTGGTTATGTATTGTATTATTAACTTTTCCACAAAATGTTTTGCTTTCCCCAAAGACCGTAGGAAGCAGTTATTTCATTGTATAAGGTCAATTCTTTCCACATCCAATGACACTTCAACATCACCTCCGATGCCTTTTAAAAGGCTTCCTTTTAAAAATACAAATTTCAAGTCCTCGTGCCAAATTTATTGACTCAGAATTTGGGGGAGTGAGGTTAGAAGAATGCCAGGCTCATAAGCTCCCGAGATGATTGCTGTGCAACTCAGCCTGCCCAGCTCCAGAGTGCCACTGGCTACATCATTAAATGTTTCAACAAGCAGTTCCTGATCAACTGAACTGATTCTTCCAATATATCCCACTGGTCTCCTCGGTAATGATGGTAGATGCTACAGAAACAAGAAAATAATACAGGCCTACCAAAAACTAATATATAAAATTTAATTTTTTTTTCTCTTAGAATTAACATCTTGACACATCTATACTACAGGAAGAGATGTTTAACAAAGCAAGCAGAATAAAATGCTAATGATATGGTCCAAGGTACATGGGTGTTTACTTAAATTTTTTTCAAATTAGCTGTATATTTAATTTTTTATTATTAAATGTTGAACAAAAATTGAAAAAAAAACTTTATATCCAAAATATCTAGGGCCAGGGATTTAGCACAGTGGTTCCACTGCTTGCTTTGCAAGCACAAGGTCCCGAGTTTGATTCCCAGTACCAATTAAAAAAAAAAAAAGAAAAGAAAAGAAAAGAAGAAATTTTTTAGTTTTATTTTAGGATTCCCTATTTTTAATGTTCATACAGAGATTTCTTTAACTGAAATACCGCATACTTTCTCTGGTGTGAAAAACTGTAATAGTACACAGGATCCTAATGAGATAATTAATAATGTGAAATAGGAAGTAAAGGGCTAAAGGTGTAGGGAAAGTGGGAAGGGTGGGGGAAAGGTAATAAGGGAAAGGAAAAAAATATGAGAAAATGAAAAAATGGAAATAAAGTGTTTATAAAGGGGGAGGGGAGGAGGGGTGAAGGGAGGGCAGGGACAAGGGGATAAAATGAGAATCAAGACCGATTATGTAAAGGTACAGGGTCCCAATGATGAATGTAACTCTATTGTATACCTAGATTGTACCAATAAACTCAATAAAAAGAAAAGAAAAGAAAAATATCTAGCCAAACCAAATTTATTCTTCATTCTTATCCTTCTTTTGTCCTTCTTACTAGTGATTATAGTCACTAAAAAAATCTGTGAAGAATTTGTCATCAAGATTAGGTCTCTTAGACCTCAGCTTCATTGTGAGTTTTGGGAAGAAAATATATTTTTCTCCTAAAACATCAACTCTAATATGGGTTTTAAATGCTGTTTTAGATGCTTCAGTAAAACAGTAAATCTACACAAAAAGACATTTCAACATATTTAATGGGTTCGATGAAAGATTAAATGTATAACTTTTATATACATATATATTTCAAATTGTTCAACATTATTTAGGAATCATCATCCCCCAAAGGATAAAGTGTGACAATAGTAGATAGATTTTGGTAGATAATTAAGTTAAATATGAGGCAAGTAGTTATCTATTGATCTAAAAAGAAATATTTTCTTCTGCCACATCAATGAGTACATCCCACAGGCTTAAAATGAGCAGTACTAAGAGAGAGTGATCTATCAAAACAAATAAATACTGTATGGTATCAGATAAACACTACACAGGATCTATTTAATTTGACATCCTACCTTTAAGGACTGTGAGAAAAAGTATAAAGAAATTCTCTGCGGAGAGATTAACATACAACCATGGCCTTGTGCTGTCTTCATTGAGCTTATGGGTAGATCATGTGGATGAGTGTG